TAGGATGATGTTGGCTGTTGGCTTTGTATAAATGCCCTTAATTATATGGAGGAATTTCCCTTCTATTCCTATTTTGTTGAGAGTTTTTATCATGAATTTGTGTTGGATTTTGTCAAATGCCTTTTCTGTATTGACTGATAAGATCATATGGTTCTTGTCTTTTGTTTTATTTATGTGATGGATTACATTGATTGTTTTTCTAATGTTGAACCATCCCTGCGTACCTGGTATGAATCCCACTTGATCATGTTGAATTATTTTTTGATATGTTGCTGAATTCTATTGGCTAGAGTTTTGTTGAGGATTTTTGTGTCAGTATTCATGAGGGATATTTGGTGTGTAATTTTCTTTTTTTGTGGTGTCTTTACCTGGTTTTGGTATCAGGATTATGATGGCTACGTAGAGGGAGTTTGGGAGTATTCCATCCTTTTAGCATAGAAACATTTTTAACAAAGGAAAACTGCTTTGAGGAATCGGTGAAAAACTCTCTTAGCTGATATAAAGGTAGGTAAGTAGGTAGGTTAGTGGATAGCTGCCGTTGAGTTGACTCTGACTCATGGCAGCCTTATGTACAGTGGAACAAAATGTTGCCTGATTTTGTATCAAACTTACAGTTACTAGTATGTTTGAGTTCATCATTTCAGCTCTCATGCCAATCCATCTTACCAAGGGTCTCTTGCCTTCCCTGGCCCTCTACTTCACCAAATGTGATGTCCTCCGCCAACAATTGCTTCCTTCTGGTGATGTATCCAAAGCAAGTAAGTTGAGCAATGTACTGTTGTGACCCATAGGGTTTCACTGGCTAATTTTTGGAAGTAGATCACCAGGCCTTTCTTTCTAGTCTGTCTTAGTCTGGAAGCTCTGCTAAAACTTGTCCACCATGTGTGAGACTGTTGCTATTTGAAATACCAGTGGCATAGTTACCAGTATCACAGCAACATGCTAGCCACCACAGTATGACAGACTGACAGATGTTGGCAGTATAAAGGTGATACAGTATTTATCAGTGATGTTAAGTGTTAATAAAAAGAATATAAAGTTATAGTTTGGATAGTCTACAAGGACTCTGATTTCTTAATTGATTTAAACTATTCATTCAACCCCATTAACCAAGCAGATACAATCATTTGATGATTTTACAGATCATAAAATACATCAAGTGTTACTTAAATGTCTACCAGATTTTAATTTGTATATTATTTTATATTATTTTTTGGGTAGGTTCAAAAGACTTACAGAAGATACTGCAATTTAAACAAAAATGTCTTACATACCGAAACCTAAAATCAGAGTTGGAAAGCTGTTTTCAAATATTTTAGCTATTCCATGTATAGAATAAAATTATATTTTACTCTTTTTCTATCCCTGTTCCTTTTCCTTTCTGTTTTGAGCAAATTGCTGTAGTTTAGTATTTGGTTTACCGACTTCTACCTTATCACTTACAATAACTTTGGGTTTCATGTTGTTTAAGGTTGAGCTTAAAGGACTTTGGTTACTACTTTAAAAAATCTTCTGGTATCATAAATTAAAATTTACAGTTTTAAGAGCTGTTGGTTATATGTCATATTAGTCTTAAAATTTTCCGCAAATGTGGATTTTTTTTTTTTAAACTTCTGGCATTTTCATTTTAAGATATTATTAGTATACCCTCTGTTTATTGATGAGGGGAAGAGCAAGGATAAGTTAATTTTGATTTTCACTTTTTAATCAGTATTTTTTTGTATTCATTGTTTAAAAGCAACAACAAAAGGATTACAGATGAATGCTTCAGTTTAAGAATACTGACATTTCAAAGTTATCATTTGTCATTAAAGATTGTTTTAACATCACACGCAACTTGTTCACTGGGCTATTCATTTGAAGAAGTTGTTTCTTGATATATTACCTCTTTCCTATCCAGATAACAAGTAGAATTTTAGGATCTTTTAAATTCTAGCTAAGCTAGAGTTATAGTGATAGCTTCAATACTATGTACAGTATTATGACTTGATTTCTTTAAATATGTATTTTGAAATTATAAATGCATTCTAATTTCAATGGTTTAATATCTTGCAGTTCATTTTCAAGTATAATTTGAATACTCTAGATATTCTTATTAGAAAAGTTGAATTTTTTTTTTTTTGGAACGTAAAATAGGGTCAGATATCAACCTATGTATTAGGGCTTTTAACTGGTTCAGTCATGGCCAATGAAGTGAAATGGGAAGAGACCTGAATTTTTAAAATTTGAGTGATCTGGAATGATAACCGGAATGGAAAAAATTACAGGTCAAAGCCCTGGAATGGGAGTGGAAGAGGCATATAGTGAGCCCTTTCAGGAGCCTGATGCTTGAGATTGGATTATTGGCAGGACTGTTGAGAGCGACACACATTCAAAGCGGCATAGTTGGCCGCCATCCTTGAGCAGGTCACCACTTTTTCCAACTCTGCTCAAAATCTGTCAGGCAAGAGATTTAGTTGCTGTTCTACGCGTATGCTATGCTTGTTTTCTAAGAGGGAGATTACGTTTCTAGCAGGACTTCGACCTGTGATTTTTCCCATTCTGTCTATTGTGTCGGTTCACCCAGATTTTGAAAATGCAGGTCTGTTCCAGTTTCTCTTCCTCGGCCATGACTGAACTGGGAAGAACTGGTTCGAAGCCATGCTATATACTGAACATTAAATCTAAGCAATTGGTAGTCTCATACGGCTTGAAATTGCGTTTCAGCTACATTTGTGAATGATTTATCTTAGCTCTTTAAGATATACGGATTTATAGGACTTTCCTTATTAAATGCTGATAACACTCTTTTCATGGCATCCATTGTCCAAATTACCCATTTTTTCTACACTTGGCATTTTCAGTTGGGGATAGACTAGTGAGTAGAGCCAGGGTCCAGCTCTGGCTTAGAACTATGTAATATCTCTTTCACGCCTAAATTAACCTTCAGTTTGGGCCTGAGAGGGCCCAACTTCCACTGGAGCTAGGACAGTGTCACTGGCCCCTGTGCTGCTCACAGTTGGATGGGATACCTCAGCCCTAACTTTCTGGTTCAGATGTTTAGAACATGCCTGAGCTTCTAGCAGTTTTCAGGTAGGTGATTCCCTCATAAGAGAGCATTAAAGAAGGTTTATTTATAATTCAAGAAACTAAAATTTTCTCTCTATATTATACAATTTAACTTTATTTTATATCCTCTAGTTACAGTGGATCATATGCATAGTTGCATATTTTGATTTGGGAAACATGTTTTGTTTTATATGTTATACTTGCTATTTAAAGAAAGCTGTGTAAAAAATAAGGAATTGCTTAAATGCATTATTATTTGATTGAATTATTCTTTATTAAAATTAAAGTCTTCGTAGTTATCCTTATGAATTTTAATTGAATGTAGTATCAAATAGTCTAACCAGTGATCTGTTGGTGTGATGGCCTAATGGCAAATAAAGTCTTTGTACACAAGTTTATAATCATTGGAAAATCTCATGTTAGGAAGAGTCCTTTGAGTACAACTGTAAAAATTGTAGAGTAGAAATTGCGTATGAAATGCATGGCCTCTAATATTTTTCCTGTTTAAGCCTTCCCTTCTCCTTTGTTAAATAGCGTAGCATTATTTCCCAAAAGTGCCACATCATTTCACTGCATGCAAGTTTAAGTTGAGGTTTCCTCAAAATTTTTTAGGTGAGTACCCAGAATATGAAGATGGGTGGGCTGCCGCGTACAACACCTCCAACTCAGAAACCCCCCAGCCCCCCTATGTCAGGGAAAGGGACACTTGGGTGAGTATATTACTAAGTAATAATTGAAAACCATTTAATGTAGTGAAAACCAAACACTGTATAGTTAAATTGTTTTTGAATATTGGAAAACAGAACATTTCCTTCCTAGGATTATCTTTTTTGTGTGTAATTTTCCGCTTTCTCAAGAAAGCCATTTTTATACTTTAAAAGGGTTTGGTTTTAGAAATTGTTTTTCTAATGAATTTTAAATGTGAGGGAAAATTCAGTCCCAAGTTCATGGCTTATTATAAATTGCTCTCTAATTCCGATTTTTTTCAGAAATTTTTTAGAGTCTTATTACACTTGAACTTTACTGTTCTTCTGAAGAAGGCTGTGTAGATGATAAAATTCTGTGTAACTTCTGTTGTTATGAGACTGTTGAGCTTTATTTAGTTTAGTGATGCCGAATTTCGGGCTCTGGATTTGACTTTTGGCAAAAATGGTCAATTAATGGAAAAGCTTACTGTTTTACTTCTGATAGCATCATGGTAGTTTATCGTGGTTTATCATGATTGAGATTTGTGACTGGGTGGGTGGAATACAACCCAGAAGCCAGATGACTAAAGTTCTGGTGTAGTTCTGTTGCTCACTCTGTGGTCTCACATAGTCATCCTCTCAGCATTTCAGTGTTTTCATCTGTAAAAGGGGGTAATATTTGTCCTCTATCAACCTTTCAGGGACACTGTACCATGAATTGGATTTTTTAAAAATATGTAAGACAAAGACAAAATGCTTTGAGAACCATTGGCTTTATGGTCTATGCTTAAAAGTTTTTAATTAACAATCTTGATTTTGGCCCCCTCACCAAAAAAAAAACCTGCTGAACCACAGTGGATCAGGACAGGTCAAAGATGAGTTGAAATACAAAGGAGGATAACGTTGGAAGAGGAATTATAGTTAGGATGGAGGGAGACAAAAGAACAAAAGTGAATTACAGACAGGAATAGAATGGTTTTATTTGGGGTAGACAAAAAATTCTTAGAGAAAGAAGAATCTAGTGGATCAAGTGAGATTTGAACTGCAGGGTAGAATGGTTTTAAATCAAGATTGTAGCAAGGTAACCTACTGTAGTCTCTAGTGAAATAAAATTTACTGTTGCTTTCAAATTTTGAAGAGGTACTAATATGCCAGTATTTTTTTTTTTTTCCATGTGTATCAGCAAGGGTCTGCAGGATCCTTGGAGACCAGAATTGCTGAGCACCGCACAGCCGGTTGATGGTCACAGCCTGGCTTTTTCACATAGTCTTTGCCTAGCCACCATGATTTGTTCTCTGCCCCTCATTGTTTACCGTTCTTTTATCATTGCCTTCACTATACAGTCCTCAGTTAGCAAAGAGTTTTTCCCTGGATAAACAGAACATTTTTATTGTCTAGGAAAAATGATTTGGAAATCAGATGTTTGGAAATTAATCAGTTTCCTGTTTTTTTGGTTTTTATATTTATAATTTCAGAGATGTCTAAACTTTTTAGTATTGTAAATCCAAATTGTTAACATTCCTTTTTCTTTGACCCTGTATCACATGCAGTGCCCCTTATTTATTTTTAATTACTAATATATGTATGCATGTATTTATGCAAGGAGACTTTGAAGGTAGTAGAGTGGATGGGGTCATTGAGTGAACTCATTCAAAATCAGTGAGCCATAACTTGAGTGGCCCAGGAGAACAATCTTTAAAGGAACCCTGAGAGTCTTTTGGGAAGTGAATCACTGAGAAATACGAAAGTCAAATGAGCAGCATCACTTTAGGAAAAGAAAACTTTTTTGTTTTTACACCTTGAGGTGCCAGTTTTTATTCTTTTGAAATCCAGCATCTCACTGTCAGTTTCATGTTAGTTGTTTATCATTGTTACAAAGAATTGAGGAAACTTAAAGATAGATGAGAACTAATTTAGTAATCGTTAATATTCCAGTATGGATTCTACTTCCTATTTCCTTTCTTACTCTTATCCTTTTCCTTTGAAAGGAAATTTTGAGAAAAAGAGGGAAATACATGTTAATAAAATCCAGTCTGGTTTGTACTTTATAGTTCGAAGTAAACAAAGTAGAAGGTCTTGGGTGATCTTTATCTTTTTCCTTTTAAATATTGAACTATGAGGAGGGTAATAGGAAAGAGAGATGAAAGTAGAAGTTGAGGGAGAAAAGTAAGGTTGTGAAATGGAAGGAGATAAGGTTAAATTGTGTATTTCTGTGTACAGATATAGTTTAATTTCTATGTATTATATAGAAAGAAATGAATTGTTATAGCTGATATTGATCATCACTGGGAGTTGTAGAGCCAAATTCTAGATTTGTTTAGCCCATCTTTGAGTATCTTTGGTTAGGGGAGATGCATGAAGAGGATAATTGATGTATTTATGCAGTGCAGTTTAGAGACTTTGACATGGTACTAAAATAATTTGAACTTCTAAGAAAAAAGCAGGGTCTGGGAAACATTACTTTAAGTGGTGTGTTCTCTGAGAATGAATGAACAAAATTGCATTAGCACGGGGAAATGAGGTTGGAGACTAAAAAACAATACTCCTCAAAACCCTAATGGTGGAGAGTAATGCTTTAGGAAAGACTGAAAATTGGTAGCTGGGGTATATTAAAACACATTTTTCTATCTTTGATTACAAATTGTATTTCACTACTGGGCAACTCTTTGAATTTATTGTGCCGAAATTTGCCTAATCACACAATACATACGCTCTTCTTTTTGTAGGCGGCACTCCCCCTATCGCACACTGGAGCCAGTGCGTCCTCCAGTGGTACCAAATGATTACGTCCCTAGCCCAACCCGTAATATGGCTCCCTCGCAGCAGAGCCCTGTGAGGACAGCTTCTGTGAATCAAAGAAATCGAACTTACAGGTATTTTCTCTACCTCAGTGCAAACTGTGATGGTCATAGTACCATAATCTGTTCAAATAACTTCAGTTAAACCTCTTTCATTTTCCAAGCACTAAGTTCTTTTCCTCACTCTGCTCCCCCAAACCTCATCTGATTTCCACCTCTCTCTCCTCATGTTCTGATGCAACTTTGAGCTGTCAAGAATTTGAAAAAGGATAGACATATTGAACTGCAAACTTTTCTACAAGGTTTATAGTTTAGTTGACCTGAAAGAAAATTATGGACCAGATGTGGGAAATTTCAAGTTGTTTTTTGGTGGAACTTTACAGATGAAAAACTATACACAATAAAATATTAGTATGGGATAATACATCAAGATATCATTACAAATTAAAATTAATCTGTTTAGGAAAGTTATGTTTTTATTACAAAGAAGTATCTTCAGATAGGCATTAAACTAGAGTAGAAGGTAATATTTATTATGTGTTGAGCCCCAACATTTGTCACTTATATTTATGGAGAAATTTTTCATTTTTCCTAATTTCTTTAATATGTGTGTATTAAAATATGGTCAAAACCTACTTTATTAAGAAATTCTTATTTGAAGTGGAGGGCTTTTGTATTTTTTTGGTAGCTATATTCATTTCAGAAAATTTTGGGAAATACTGGTGATATCTTACTGTCTATAAATATTCATGTTTTGGTGGCTCTTATTTCTTTAGCAGCAGCGGGAGTAGTGGAGGAAGCCACCCAAGTAGTCGGAGCAGCAGTCGGGAGAACAGTGGAAGTGGGAGTGTGGGGGTTCCTATTGCTGTTCCTACCCCATCTCCTCCCAGTGTCTTTCCAGGTAAAACATTAATGGTGCTTCATCTTCACTTGTCCTTTCTAAATCTGAATTCAGTTTGTGATTGAATTACAGTGGGCTTTCTTCATCATCAGGATTTTTTTCCCTCTAGGACTCCATAAATGTTGGGAAGTCTTTATGCATGTGTTATCTTTAACCAAGTGATTTGTAAGTCTGCTCTCTGCATTTCTCTGTTAGTTGGTTTTATGCCTTTGGTGCAGTGGCTCAGTTGGTGCTTGAGATTCCAGGTACCAACCACCGTGGTATGAGTAATATGTTTAATTCCTACGAGTATTGTGACAGTGCATGTGTCATTCTCACACAGTTGGTACCTACTGTGAAAATCATCTTGGTACACAAAGGATTAGACAAATATAAAAGTAATCTGAACTGTTAAATTTAGTGGGCTATTGGAACTTTATAGTCTCTGACATGGTACCCTCTTTTCTCTGAAGCAGAAAAATGTGCTTATCTGTTCTGAGGACACACAAAGTTAAAATTTAGTTTTAAAAGCATGACACAAAAGAGATAAGGATACAATATTACATGTTTAATTTACTTGAAATAACAAGTAGATAATACCTTTTTAAAAAATCATGAAAAAGAGGGTTTTTTTTATTTTTTAACTTGGTAAGATAGTTATGTCTGGAATACATATTTATTTTCTGATTTTTTTTTTAATTGTACTTCAGGTGAAGGCTTACAGAACAAATAGTTTCTCATGAAACAGTAGTACACATATTGTTTTATGACATTGGTTAACAACC